TAAAAAATTATTATAAATAGTAGATCATCATCACTCAGTTCTGGATCAATGTTACTATCAGGAATTTCTTTTTTTTTTTTTACATTTGTTCTCTTTGAAAATGCAATTTTTTTTTTCAATAAATATACTAATTCACCCAACATGGCTGCAAGCAAGAATTTTTAAGTTGAGAGTTACTAAACACAAATAATAGTGTTAAAGGCAAAGGAAACTTTTTTTTTTAATTCTGATTCACTCCTAACTAGGCTGCAAGCAACCACTATTAAGTTGGAACTTACTAGAAAAAAAGATTAGAGTTATAGAGCAAGGAAACGGTTGACAGAAGACTTAAAAATTTGAATGTTGTATGAGTCAGGAAAACATGATGATGGGGGAGGTATTTCCAAAGAGTTTGGGTGGGGGAAAAAAACTAGACAAATAAAATTTTTTCAAGCATGCATAGATAGATACATTAAAAGAATGAGACTTAAGAGAAGAAGAAGGAGAGAGAAAGTGGCGAACATGATAAAGAGAAGTACCCTTAGCAGATGCTAACTTTGCGATCGATTATCAGGTTTTAAAGCCTTACGCGTAGAGATTTATCTACACCTTAAGCGATTTTATGTAAATAGTAAATGATTTTGGTCAAGCAACCTTTTATCATTTTTTAACTTTTAAATTATTCTATAAATGGTAAGATAAAAGAAGTCATTAATTTTGAAAAAATCACATTAACTTTTGAATTGCGTTTATGTAAAAATATTTGTTACAAAAGTTTGAGTTTTGACAATTATGTTAGATATAAGCGCTAGTTACTAATGAAAAAAACTCAAATAAAATAAAAAATTTTTGTTTTGTTTTTATTTTATTTTGATGACTGATTTTTTTGCTTGAAAAACGCATTTACTTTAAGCTTGATGCAAAGATAATATAATTTATTTCTAATAAAAAATATATGATTTAATTTAAAACTAATTTAATAAAAATTTATAATTTTATTCTGATAAAAAAAATATATAATTTAATTTAGATTTTAAAAATATATAATTTAATTTTGATTTAAAAAATATATTTAAGCTTATTAAAATTAAAGTTAATGCTAGGGTCTAATTTAATTGTCAAATTTATTTAAAAATATTACTAAATAATGTTCAATATTTAAATTTTATTCTTAAAAAAAATTAGCTCCTTTTTATCGCAATTGTTTTTTTGGTTTTCCTTCCTAAACATTTTTTTTTACTCATAATTAAATTTTAAATAAACGGCTGCATCAAAAATTTGCACTAAGCGTAAGTTAAAATTTTTTTTTTTATAACACAAGTTAAATTGCAGCAATTATTTTTAATAAACGATATATACAGCAATTTTATTTTATTTTGGAAAAATAATCTTTGCTTTCCAACAAAATCATTAATAAAATTATAAAATTTTAATAAATAGAGTAAATAAGTTAACATTTTTTACTTGTTACTCACTATTTTTTTAAATAAAAAATCATTTGAGTTTGCAAAGCCGCAAATAGAAATATAATGAATAATCATTTAAAGATTTAAAAACATTTAACATATTTTTATTCATTTATGCAAATGTTGAGAAAATGCTGAGAATAATATCAAACATTTTTTAAACATTCACCGCTTAAGAATGTAGAACGAAAAAATTGAAAACCATATTGGTTGTCAGACTGTAAGTTATTTGACTCAAGTTTGTTGATCAAAGACTGGAAAACCTTGCTAATAATAGAGAGAAAACTGATTGGACAATATTCGGAGGTTCTCTACATTTATAAATCGGAACCACAGATGTTATTTTTCAGCAGGCAAAAAAAAACAAGATTCAGTCAAGCACATATTAAATTGTTAAATAAATTGAAGAGAGTTCTGGAGAACACTTTTGTTAGACTATGGCAAAAATGTTTTTTCAAAAAAGTCAAATTAAAGAGCTTTTTTTTAAAATGTAGTATCTGCAGTTTTGAAATGTGCTGCTTTAAATATTATTTAATCAAAAAATAATTAGCACATGAAAGTACACTTTATTAACAATTTTTAGTTTGTTTATAATAAGAAACTTTTTAAAGTTGATTGTTTTACCTAATTATTTTTTATTAGTAGTTATATGTTATATTTTAGGTTACGTAAAGTTTTTGTTGAAGTTGGCACATATAAACAAAATTGCTCATACCTTGTTTTGAAAATAAGCTCTTCAATTAATGAACAATCTTTTTGAAAATAGTTCTGCCTTACCCTTGGGAGAGGTATTAAGATCAGACCCATAAATTAAAGATAGAATGTTCAAAGTTTTTGTTATTGATACTGTTAAAAATATTCAAATAGTTTAGGGCTCCTTATGTAGCCTCTACAATGCACACCAAAAATACTAACAAGGACACCATCCATGCACAATATGGCACTATTAATACTGTGATATTTTACAGCTGTTGATAAAATCAATCTCTCAGCGAGCTAACACAGAGTTTGGGTAACCTTACTACTATTCAACCTCAAAACCATTAAACTGAGTTTTGAAGCTGTATCTTCATTATGAGATAGCAGGAAGAATTGCATAGCCATTATCAAGGAGGAACATGCAAAAATCTATTAATAGAATAAAGAAGCATTCATCATCCTAGACATGAAACAATATAACACAGGTTTACATCTATGCCAGTCTAATAGATGTAGGTGTCAAGCAGAATTATTCTGCTTACCCCTTAAATCTTTGCCTCCAAGGCCTCTTACAAGACAATATATGGATGAAGTTAACATCTTCCCAAAATGAGTATTTTTATTGACACCATCTCTAGCCTTTACTCAACTGAGAGCCCCAAGGCATGAGAATTTTAAGTCAGAGTTTTTTTCTTATAGCTTTTGCTTTAAAAAGTAAATTCAAGCTAGCAACAGAACATAGGGTTTTATTTTAATTTAATAAGAGTTGTATAGTAATTACTAGTGTTACCTGATACTTTAAGACAATACTAAATTTAAGGTTTTGACTCCAATGCAATGTTAAAGTTAGGGGAAGAATAGAGCAGTTTTCCACCATATTTTGTGGTCTAAAATGTCTTGGGAAGAAAATTTTACAAACTGTAAACTTGTCAAATCTTGTTGTGCCTAATTCCATAAGTAATAAAGTGCTTGTACTAGTATTTTTGTAAGGGATATTGTTTTCATGTAGTCAAATGCTAAAGATAAAATATAGCTTTCTTTTTTTGCTGCATCAGATGTCTTATGCTTTAAAGTGGAATAGAACTTCTTGCACTTTTATTTGTGAACTCCAGCTTCAGCAGCTCGTATTGTAACAGGCTTTAACTAAGAGGATTTTATTGTTTAGCACCTCACATGTGTAACACAAATCCCCTTGTGAACGTCCAAACGTGTCATTAAAATTTTTCCTGTAATAATTCCATTAAAATGATTTGCTTATGTGGAAAATGTTTACTATAGAACATACATATATACATATACATATACATATAACAAGTTATATATCGAGCTCTGCTGACAAATAGTACATTTTTTGCCACTATAATGTGAGAATTTAAAAGGAAATGATTTGATATGCTCAGATGTGAACATCTTGTGGTAGTGAACATCTAATACCTTTTCCTCTCATCTTCTGGGATCTTTCCTGTGTGCTCAAGTTGTCTGATTCATCACATCCTTTTCTTGCTTATTGAAAGTACAGCTAATAAGACATTGAAACATTTTTGTTTATTCAGTACCCACCATTATATGATACTTGAAAAATGCAGTCTTAGTACCTCTGATGTCTTCATTGCCCTTTGGTCACCTTTGTTGACCATCGACTACATCAATAAACCATTTTATGTACAGATCTTGTTCATGTTTAATATTTTAAAATGAACAAGATCTGTACATAAAAGACCCTTTCTCTTTATCCTTAATATTGTAAAACTTGGTACAAAAGTCAAAGCAATTCTCTTCCTTCATTTATTGTAGACATTTCTTGGATGAAAAAGAAAAAATAGTCTTTATAATCTTATTAATTCTCCTTGACAGACTATAATCTTAAAAACATAGGGTCAAACCAACATATTATACCTTTCAAATAAAAAATTATTTATAGACAAACAAAAATCTATATTACAAATTGAAATAGTAGTTTAAGTTGCATGGAATAAATAAAGTAACTTCAAAAATAAACAATTTTAATTAAAAAATATAAATTAAAACTCACCTGTAGTGATATTGTGTACCTTTAGCTGGAATTTGTACATCTTAAAGGTTCACATAGGCCTGACCTTTAACCCTAGCTTAAGGGTCAAGCCATGCATTCTTAGATTTTATTTCTATTGTAATCACTATTATAACAACCTTTCCTCTTCTGAGGTGAACGATTAATAACTTAATGAATAACTTCTACTTATTTACTCATCCATTACAAGCTGTTTAACACTTTAATTCACTAAAAAATGATAGTTCATTAGTCAAATAAAATACAGAAAAAGTGTTATGAACAGGAGCATCTGACAAATGTCTTGTGCAAGAGTAAAATCTCTAGCTGACTCATGATCTTTTAACAAAAACCAAGTATTGACTTACTCACCTTCAACAAAACTATGATGTTTGCTAGTTTATTGTGTTGTTATGAATAGAGTTTAAAAATCCCCTTTAACAAACTTTTGCATCTATCTTCATACAATACAAAATGATAGCAAGCTCATTTTGAAAAAAATATTGACTTGAGCCCTATTAACAAATAGCTATTCATTTTTCTAATGGGGTAAAGGAGGTGGAGTTAATTACTTGTTACTCCAACTGTAAGATTCCCTTTAAAAATTATTTTCACTAACCCCTCTGATTTAAAAGCTTATTTAAATCCCTCTAGGTCTTGCATATAAACAAGATTAATTATTATTGCATTCAGGTGATGTATGAGGCCTAATGGAGAAAGTTTTCTATTTTTATAATACATTTTATATATTGTACATAAGATTTTGCTAAAATTTTATTGACATATATCAGATATAATTGCTAAATGAAATATAACTTTTTTTGCAGACTTGACATTAATTTTTAAAGATTGCTGCAAATATGGAATTCTGCTGGCTATGGACAGCTGTGTTATTTTAAAAGAAGATGTTTTAATTTGCTCTATGGTAAAGTCATGTGTAAGTTTTATTTAAAAACAAAAGCTTTATATCTTTTATGTAACATTTTCATTAAATCAGATTAATTCTTTTTTTTTTTTTAAGTTAAATGGTGCAACTTGTGTTTCAAAAAAAAATGTGAAGAGTTTCCTTATAGATGAAAGTTTTTATATATTTGCTGGGTTTGAAGCTTGGCTTTTTGAAAAGTTTACTGGATCTCCTTTGAAAACAAATTTTGAGGTTAGATTTTTTATATTGCTTTTGATTAACAAAAACAGAAAAAAGATGTTTAATGTTTTGTTCACTTCAAACATAAGATAAAATTGAGTGTATATATATATATATATATATATAAACTTTTTAAAAATATATATTTGTTTTTATTTATAAAAAATATACTAAAATAAAAACAAATATATATTTTTATACGCAGCCGTTTTTATTGAATTTTACATATTTTATTATCGTATAACAAGAAAATGACTTTTAAAGATTATATATATCTATATATATCTATATCTATATATATATATATATATATATATATATATATATATATATATATATATATATATATATATATATATATATATATATATATATATATATATATATATATATATATATATATATATATATATATATAAATGTATATGTATATATATTCATTATAAATATATTATACTATATATTTTAGATTTATTAAGTAAAATAATCAGTATTAATGATTTAGGCCTTTATCGCGATGATGGTTTAATAGTAATGCATCAGAAATCTGGTCCATAACTCAATAAAATTAGAAAAGATATTATTTTTTTAAATATTGGCTTTCAAATCGAAATAAACATTAATTTCTTTGATGTCACATTTAACCTCCCTGAAAATTCATATAAGCCTTTCAAAAAACCAAACAATGAATTATTGTACATTAATATTAACTCAAATCATCCACCCCAAATTCCGATTTCAATTAATAACAGGCTAAACCAAAACCCCTCTAATGAAAACATATTTAATTCCTCTAGACAAATATTTGAAGATGCCCTTAAAAAAAGTGGTTTTGAAAATTTTGAACTAAAATTTGAGCCTGAAAAAAAGCGTACAAAAAAGTGAAATAAAACTAAAAATGTAATTTGGTTCAACCCCCCATATAACCCTCTCACAATAATGTGGTTAAGATCTGCTGCTTATTTCTATGCCAAAAGTTTGTGTAGACGTCATTTATTACAGAAGTCCATTCCAAAAAGTTGGCATAATAAATGTTTGGCATCACGTGATTGGTTTCTCTCATTCCGAAAAAGGCATACTCAGTTGAAACTAAGAATTCCTGAAGGGCTTTCTCGAGCAAGAGCAAAAGCATTTAATGAGAATCGTATTCAGACATTTTTTAACGATTTACAACCTTTTTATGAACAGCTTGACATAAAAAATTATCCAAATTTGATTTATAACTGTGATGAAACTGGCCTTTCATCTGTGCCAAATGTCTCTGTTAAGGTAATAGCATTAAAGGGTTCTCATGAGGTACAAAAGTTAACTATTAGTGAACGTGGCACACTAACAACATACCTGGCCACTGTTAATGCAGCAGGAGACAGCTTAACACCATTTTTCATATTTAAGGAACAAAGATTCAAGATGCATCTAAATTTCCTTTGGGTACAAAAGTGCATTGTAGTCAAAGTGGATATATTGATCAAGAGATTTTTATTGCTTATTTACATCATTTTAATGAGTTTTGTACAAAAGTGAATGGGAAAAAAGTATTGTTATTTTTGGATGGCCACAAAAGTCATGTGACTATTGAAGCGATTGAATTAGCAATAAAGATGGATATTGAAATAATATGCATTCCACCTCATAGTACACATCGCCTTCAACCAATTGACACACATGTTAATAAAGTAGTTAAACATATGTGGTCTGAAGCCTTGTCTAATTACTTAGCTGAAAATGATGATATTTCTTTGCCTCGTTGCAACTTTCACATTATTTTTAACTAAATATGGCCAAATATACTTACAAAAAGAGGATTGATTGTTAATGCGTTTTACCATTGTAGTTTGCATCCCCTAAGAAACCCAGTAAAAGATTTCGAATATAAAAAAGCAGAGGTTTTTAATAAAGCAACAATTCACCAGGGAGACCAAAATTTATCTATTTTAAGGACTATTATACCTTCTCCTGAAAAAAAAAGGAAACCTACTCATTCAAAACGCCACATTGCTCTTATTACATCACCAGGTAATGTTAAGTTAATAAAAGAGCCTCCTGCTAAAAAGGCTGCAATAAAAAATGTGATCAGTGTTAAACAGAAGTCAAAAAAGGATCACGATAAATCAGTTAAAACCAAATCAAAAAAAACTTTTTTTTCAGCTGATTCTGATCACCCAAGTTCTTCAAGTTTTATTCTAAAAAATAACACTGATAAAGACTTTTGTTGTGTTTGTGCAGCTGTTTGGGCAGAAGCAAGTGAAGATTGGCTTAAATGTTTAAATTGCAATCAGTGGGCATGCGAAGGATGTTTTGGAGTTGATACATGTGCAAATTGTGTGCAATGAACATATAAACGTCTTGTAAATTTTTAAATAGTCATAGTAGTGATATGATTTTTGTTATTTAAATAGTCATAGTAGTGATATGATTTTTTGTTGCTTTAACGTGCTATTTTTTGCGCTAGCGCGGTTATACGGTTTTCATTTATGCCAAAATCGTTATTTGATATTTTCTTGGAAAAAGT